ACAGAAAATGAAAATCTAATACTTGTCTAAAGGAGTTTTTCATTATTTCTACTAATCTACTAACTTTTGGCTCTGTAGTAATTTCCTTATGTGACTGTTTCTATTTTAACTGTGTTGGTAAATGTTATATTTGAAAAGTAATTTGTGGCCTGCATAAAAGTTACTAAGGGAGGATCTATGTTTTTGTTTTGTTTTTGTTTTTTTTTTCCCTCCTGGCACCTAGAGGAATCACCAGTGCGGAACCATCCTAAAACAAGTTTAAATGCTTACGATTCTTTGGGTGATGCAGGCAATTCTAAATTTGACTAGTTTTCTAATACTTTATACTTCTGGTTCATCCTCATCCAAAGGCTAAAAACGCTTTGGCGAGGTGGGGGTGGCCATGGGGAAGTACCGATTAGGTTCATGATACTGATTAGATTTACAACATTGTGTGGGCCTTAAATTTTGGTCTGTTCCCTCACCCCATAAGGTTGTCTCAATAGGACCCTTTGCCCACTTCCCTTCTCTTTCTCTTTCCTTTTGGACTGATCATTCCTTACTGTCTTAATATCTTGATGCTTTCAGATGATTTTTGTATTTTAATCACCTTTGGTTTTTTTTTAGCAGGAGTATGGATCTAAGTATCCTAGCATACAATTCCCAGAAACAAGAAGTTTCCCACAATTGCATCCTTGTTCCTATTTGGGCAAACCCTACTCTTTTAATTGGTATTCTCCGCACTTTGCACATGCTACTTGTGGCATCTAATCCATAAGTGTTGATAGGAAAAATGCATAATTTTGTCAGCATAATTACTTTCAGCAATTTATATGTATATCCGCTCAAAAAATATACGTATCTTATATTAATTATCTAATATTACTTTCTGCACATAAATCACTAGGAAAGTTAGCAGCTTAAAACATTATCTCACACAGTTGCTGAGATTCAGGAATCTGAAAATGGCTTAGTTTGGTGGTTCTCATGAGGTTGCAAACTTTGGAAGGCAGCTACTATTGGGGTTGAAGGATCCATTTCCACTCCTGTGGCCATTGGCTTCGGTCCCTTGCCGGTGGGCCTCCCCAACAGCCTGGCAGCTGGCTTCCCCAAGAATGAGTGATCTAATAGGGGGAGAGAGACAGAAGAAGAGGAAAGGATAGGAAGAAAGGGACAAAAGACAGAACGTGGGGAGAAATGCACCAGAGATGGAAGTGATAGCTGTTTACAACATAATTTTAGAAATGACATCCCAACCCCTTTGCCGTATTTTTTTGGTCACAAAGACCAATAATGTTATGTGGGAAGGGACTACACAGTATGAACACCAGCAGGTAAGGATCACTAGGGACTTATCTTGGAGGTTGGGAAGCACTATATTTTACCAAAAGTCAATAAAAAAAAAAAAAAGAAAACTTTATTATATTCAGAGGTTCTTAACAAAGCACTTGCGTTAAACCCACTTCTTCATTTGTAGAAAGCATGAAAATATGGTTGTAATTTTATCAGTACAGATGTGCAAAATATTTCCCAGACAGTGTTATATATTAAATTTGTCCAAGCTAAATCCAAAAGAAAGAATATAAGGATCTAAAACTAAAAATCTGATGTGAAAAAATCTCAGTTAAATGGTAAAAGATAAATTTAGATGGCAAACCTTAGTGTCTGGTAGGGGAAAAAAAAGGTTTTAAATATAGCTAACTAAATAAACCTGCAAGTGTCTTAGTAATAAAAAATTCTGTTATGAGAAAAACAGTCCTCCTACTGAAACATATAGTCACAATTCCAGGGATATGCTTTTATCAATCAAAAGTGGTTTGAGAAGGAATGAAACCTTTACGATTCTAAGTATGAATCTCACAACTCAAAGTAAATTGAGCGAATCAATGTGTTCTTCGGTGTAAACACCATGCTACACTTTGTATAAATGAGAAGAGAAAAAAAATACATATATCTATTTGTATTGCTGCTACTACACCTAAACCAGGGGAAGATACGTAAGAAACTAATAAAAAGGATTACTTGGTTGAGACTGGAGGGTAGGAAGAACAAGGTAGATACATATAAGGTAGAAGGTAAAACTTGTATTGATAAGTTTCTTATTATTTTTCTGATTTCTGAAATATACACACACACACACACACACACACACACATATGATTGAACCGATATAAAACATTTATTTAATCACAAAGGAAAAATTAAAACCCAAGATGGGTTTATAGGTTTTTGGTTTATTTCAGGATATCTTCGATTAAAATGTGAGTTAGGTTATCAAAGTTATGCTTGTGCCTAAAAAAAAGAAAAGTCTGTTCTTACTTATAAAACAATATCAGAATCTAGGCTGTTAGAAAATTAGGCAGTTGAGACACCATAGTCAAGCTTTTCCTCTTATGATTAAATCATAGGTAAGATATTCATACAACACAGAAGACCCTCTAAAGCAAATCGCCTTAAAAGATAAAGTTCAGTCTTTTTACAATTACCTACTTTTCAGATTTTTATCTCTTACCTAGCCAAGTTTCATGCCCACTATCCAACAAGTTCTCAGGTAGCCATCTTCTTATTGGTATGACCAGCCTTCTGAGTTGTTTTCCTTTTTTGTTTTGTTTTGTTTTTTTGGTGGGCAGCAAAGCAAAGTTTATTGAGTGATAGTATAAAGCTCCTGAAGAGGGAGGGGACCTGAGAGGGATGCCTCCTGGGTTGTTTTCCAACCACATAGTCAAGATTCATATCTCTATTATAGCAGTAATTTTTACTTCGTTAATTACCTGTCTCATACATTCAGCTCCAATAGGGAAAGAACTATTTTACTCATCTTTCAACCAGTGAAGCCTAACAAAATGCTCTGCACATAGCAAGTATATAGACAAAGTGTGCTGGGTGGTTGCACAGAATAAGTAGGCTAGATTTTACTTCGTATTTCAGAGTTTAGAGAAAGAGACCAGTATTAAAAAGCCTCAGATCAAAAACAGATCACTGCAGACTGAATACAAAGAACCATTCTATTTCTTTACATTTAAAAAAATTTTAAAGTACCAATGTGAAGAACATGACCAAATAAGTAACAACTGCTTTCAGAAACCTACATCTACAAGGAATACTTTAAAATGTTTCTCCAAAGACACATTATTCCAATTTTTATTAAATGTAGAGACTTTTTGGAAACAAATCTAAAGCTATCCTATCATGGGAAGAGCTCTCCACCATTTGGTTATTTTTAAGTAATTTCAGGAGTGCCTGGCTGGCTTAGTCAGAAGAGCATGTGACTCTTGATCTTGGGGTCATGAGTTTGAGCCCCATGTTGGGTGTAGAGATTACTAAAATAAAAAATAAATAAAATAATTTCAGTATTCATAGGCTGTGCAACTACTTATACTGCAAAATAAACACACAGTATATAAAGAAAACGTAAACTGCTAAAAATAATCTTACACCATTTCAATACATTTCACAGGGTACTTTGTTTTGCCACTTTATTTAATAGCCACAACATTTTACATTGCTTATTAAGTAGCTACTTCCAGAAGACTGATAATCTCCTTCACAGGATATTTTTGGTTAATACTACAGATGCGATTCAGTATAACCATGTGACCAGTGGAGTAAAATTCTCAGTCTCTCCTAGCCTGAGACCTCAGATCCTGAGTTATAACCCTGACTTGGTCTTCAAGTTGAGATGCTTCATAAGTATTTTTCTTACATCAGGGCTATTTAGTGTAGTTTCTTTTTCTTGAGATATACAATGAGTGTTTTTGATACAAAAACATATACCATATAAGAATTAAAAAAGCATCAAAATAATGGTTATATCTTATTTATACAATGTAAATGACAGAACTAAAACATCCCCTACACTTTTTTTAAACACAACATACTTCTTAAAATTTTGCTGTTTGAAGAGGAAGGTTCTATAAGTTTCAAATACATAGAATTTAACTTATGTTAATATCCTGTTATAAAAATAACTACCATATAAAGAATTTAAAATATGCAAAAGTAATTAGCTCATTAAAATGTGTATTTAATACATTGGTGTCGATGAAAATATGCAGACTTGCTAACAAAGTTCTACGATTTAAAGGAGAAGTTAAAAAAGCCTGTTTTAGGCTTCATTTATTGCTACATAATGACTACTTCAAGGGTCATATGGCCTGTTGTCAATCCCTCTTAGAAGTGGTAAATAGCGTGGGGTATATTTTGAAGGAAAAGAGGAAAATAATGCACTGCAATACAAAAATATTACCTATTTATAAATTAGTAGACTTATAAAACATACTGAATCACATGTTCTTGCTATAAAAACAATGTACTTAAATATAGAAGCACAAAATTCTGAAGCACCCACAATTATTTTAAGAATACCCATTTAATCAAGAAAAAAACATATATATATAATAATTTGAGAAGAAAAAAGGCAAAATTCTGATTTTTAATCCAAATAATCAGAGTTTATCTAATCATGGAGGTAGGTCTCCACTCCAATTATATAAATAAGTTATCTGCCTTACTCAAAGAATCATCGTATTAGACTAAGATCTGAAAACTGTGTCCTGAAATTCATTTTTAACAGACTTTAGAAACCAGCAACTGTACTGGCATATGTAACAGCTATTTCCCTCATAAGGTTACACCTGAAAAGAGCCTTCATTAAAGTCATTCTTGGCATAACGAGGTATACATAAATGCAGATACTTTGGCTTTGCATTTAAATAACACAGTAAATGCTACAAATTTATTAAAGATAGAAGAAATCCTTATCTTAGTACTTGTATTAAGTCAAAGCTTCAAAAACTGTGGGTCTCTTAAATTTTTAGAGATTTAAATATTGTGCTAATGCTTTAAAAAGATAATTTCCTGCCTAAAAAGCAAAACTTACATGTTTCAAATAGCGAACATTTAGTGTTTGTGGCATTTCAGCTTTAGTGAACTTAGTTTTAACAAATTAGTATGCAATATATGATTCATATCTTTCATTAAAAAAGATTTTCTATAATGAAAAATACTAATTCTATTTCTAGTGGTAAACTAGTAGAGTTGGAGGTCCCACCATGGATCACAGGGATTAGAGCACTATCAAGATCATTTAAATAATGTTGAGGAAGAAGTTGGCCTTCAGATCCTGCCTGAAATTCAACCTGGGGAAGAAAACAATCTTGATAAGTCAACCCCAGAAAGTAAGCAATCTTGTTTAGCTCAGCAGATGAATATGAATTATTTTAAAATACATCATTCATTTTAAGCATGTTAAGAAAATACTTGATATTTTACTCATAAAATATTTCACATTCTCCTGTATTTCTTTTATCTTTTACATAAATTATCATTCTCTCTCCCACAGATATCATAAAAATTGTTTAAATGCCACTACTTCATACTTTAGGTTTCCTCTCAATGCACATGTAAACACTAGAGAACCAAGGTTTTAAATAATTACCAACATGACTTAATAAAAACCTATAGTATTAAAAAATCTACTTAAACTGTTTTGAATTTGTTGTTGCAAAAATATTTAATATTTGAATTTAATGTTGCTGGTAAAAATTACATTTTAATGCATTTGACTAAAAAAATTAACAGGGCTGCTGAAATAAGAAGTTATTACCTCACTGAAAAAGGACAGTGAGGTCAAAATGTAAGTTCTTTACAAAAGAACTAGGAGTTTAACACAACCTAATTAAAGAAAAGCAGACCCTCAGTATATGACCTCATTCATGTTTAGATTAACCATTCTAATGAAAACCTTGCTTTGAAATAGATTATATTGGATGTTGGAAACAAATGAACATTAAAGTACTACTAGAGTACCATTTTTCACCTATAAAATTCATGAAGTTCCAAAGTTTGATTACATATTGCTTTGGTAAAGATGTAGGAAAAAGAACTTTCTCATACAAATTGTGGTAGAAACCCCTATTTAAGACAATATGGTACTATCTATTGAGTACATTCTTAGACCTGGCAATTCTACTTCTTAGAATGTTTGTTATACTCATACTTATGCAGAAGCAAAATACTGTGGATAACCTAATGTCAATCAGTGCATACTAAATTTATATAAAAACTAGTTAAATAAATTATGGTACATTTATATAATCAACAACTACTATTAAAAAGAATACATAATAATATGAAGTATCTCTAAAATATAACATCTTAAAGAAGCAAGGTCAAAAAGAAGTAAGAGTAAGGGGGGAAATAAAAAGGACTTACATATTTATTTGGCTATATATGCAAAAAAAATCAGAGACTACAGAGAAATGGGTAACATTTGATTGCCTGACCAGGAAGGAGGATGAGGAAGAATATGGAGACAGATTTCAGAGTTGGGAGTTAAAAGTGGGAAGGAGATCTTTCCAGGGCTATTACTTTATAACTCTACTGGGAACCATGTACATTGTAGCCTGGGGTCAGTATCTCAAGGGGCTACCCATTACAGAGATGACAACATGAGTATTGCTCTCTGGAAATGTTGAATAAGATGGTCCTATTATACACACACTTGTGAGATAACAGAAAATAATATATTGTTCTCTACCTCTGGATTCTGGTACCCAGCTCTTGAAACCCTTGTAATTTCTTAAGTGATAAGAACACTCTAAATATCTCTTGTTCTAATATTTGCAAAGGGCTCCTAAAGCCCTCGTACATTCCCAAGTGAATGAGGTGACTCTGGGTGGGCTCCTGGATGGGGACTGGTCACCCAAAAGACCAAGCCATAATTAGAAGCTTTAGATTTGTCAGTCCTATCCCTCATCTTCCAGAGAGGGAAGAGGGATTACAAAATGGGGTTAAATCATTCCTACATGAGGAAGTCTCCATAAAATACCTATAGAGGGGGGTTTAGAGAGTTTCAGGGCAGCTAATACATCCATAGGAGGGTGACACACCCTAATTCTACTGGGACAGATGAGAACCTCCCAAACCTCTCCCTATGTATATGTCTTCATCTGTATATCCTTTAATAAAGTGGTTAACATAAGTGTTTCCCTGTGTTCTGTGAGCAGCACTAGCAAAGTAATTAAACCCAAGGAGGGAGTTGTTAGAACTTCTGATCTATAGCTGGTTGGTCAGAAGCACGGCCAATAACCAGGGCGCATGATCAGCACCTAAAGGCATGTGCAGGCACAGTCTTATAGGACTGAACCTTTAACCTGTGGCATCTGATGATATCTGGGTAGAGAGTGTCAAAATTGAGTTGAATTCCTGGATATCCTGCTGGTATCTAAGAACTGCTTGTTGGAAGAGGGAAACCCTCTATATATTTGGTGACCAGAAGTGTCAGAAATGAAGTATTTTGTGTAGTAAAAGAGATTTCACAGGAAGAAAAAGCCAAGGTAGGGAAGAACTGCTTTTTCCTTACATGGGAAGGAAAAGACTAAGTTTTTCCTCTTCTAACACTTTTGGACTTTTTAAATTTTTAAATCGTGAATTTAGAATAAAGTCAGAATGAAAAAATAAAAAACCTACTTATCAAGCAGGACTGCTATAGTGCAGAGGTCAGCAAACTATGGCCTGTGGGCCAAAGTGGCCCACCAATTACTTTTATAAACAAAGTTTCATTGGAACATGGTGAGCTCATTAGTTACATACTGTCTATGGCTACTCGTGCACTATAATGGCAGGACTGAATAGCTGTAAAAGACATCATATAGCCCATAATGCCTAAAACATGTACTGTCTGGCCTTTTACAAAAAAGTTTGCTGACCCCTGTTGTGGGGAGTAAAGGTGATAATTGTAGAGGAAGTATGTAGCACATACTGATGTTCAACATTTTAGTTCTCTTCATTCATCCCCAATAAAAAATAACTCCATTGGATTATTTTAATATATGATACATTCATTTAAAAATACATCACAAAAACATGTCTCACCATATCAGTATCAATGGAAACTCTGAGACCAATTTTATTCATCCCATCTCTCTTTAGAGTTTTCAAGTGAGGGCACAGTGCAGCACTACAAGCCATGGCTATTTCTTTTGCAAACTGGTAACGCGTTGCTGAAACAGATAAATCCTGGTCCTTAAGAAAGTAGAACACCTGAAATGTATTTAATTAGAAAACAAGTCATGATTAAGATTAAAAGCAGCTTTAAAAGTACAACTGCTACTTTCAATTTAACTTTATTAATAAAATTCCAATTTTTTAAAAAAGATTCTATTTATTTATTCGACAGATCACAAGTAGGTAGAAAGGCAGGCGGGGGTGGGAGGAAGCAGGCTCTCCACTGAGCAGAGAGCCTGATGCAGAGCTTGATCCCAGGACCCTGAGATCATGACCTGAGCTGAAGGCAGAGGCTTAACCCAATGAGCCACCCAGGCACCCCAGAATTCTAATGTTAATGCCATAAAATTCATTAGTTAAAGGCAATGTCTGTGGGACACCTGGGTGGCTTAGTCAGTTAAGCATCTGCCTTTGGCTCAGGTCATGATCTCAGGGTCCTGGGATCCAGCCCCATGTCGGGCTTCCTGCTCAGTAGGGGGCGGGGGTTGCTTCTCCCTCTTCCTTTGCCTCTCCCCCTGCTGGTGCTCACTCTCCCTCTCTCTCAAATAAATAAAATCTTTAAAATTAAAAACAACAACATCAACAACACTGTGTGTGTAAATATATATTTTGATCTGTAAGTAGTAAAAGCCTAAAACCAAAGATTATGGACTATGGCATGACTTAGCTATTTTTACCTAAAATTAACTTGCAACAAAAGCCCTATTAATTCAGTTTAGAGAAGTGCACTAATGAGTCCACCCTATAACAGCACCTTCCTGTAAGGACATCTTAATAAAGTTAAGATCAAACAAAGAAATAATATTCTATAATTTCTTTTGTTGTTGTTGTTGTTAAAGATTTTACTTATTCATTTGACCGAGAAAGCACAAAAAGAGAGCAGCAGGCAGAGGGAGAGAAAGAAGGAGACTCCCCATTGAGCAGAGAGCTTGACCAGGGTTTGATCCTAGGGCCCCAGGATCATGACCTGAGCCAAAGGCTGACGCTCAACCAACAGAGCCACACAGGTGCCCCAATGTTCTATAATTTCTATATCCTCTATAGTTTCTATCTATCTTGTAATGCGTAAAAATCACATAGAATACAAAAAATATTAGTAACAGATTGCCTGACCCAGAAGGCAGAGTGAGTAGGAGTACAGAAGTACACTAAGGGATTGGGAGTCTATAATTTCATATCCTTTTAGTTTAAAAAAAGTTGGAACGTGCAAAAATAATTTTCATATGTGAATGCTGACTATAAACTGTTATCTATAAAATATTTTATTTTGGGGGGTGCCTAGGTCGTTCAGTCACAGCTAAGCAACTGACTCTTGATCTCAGCTCAGGTTTTGATCTTGGGGTTGTGAGTTCAAGCCCTGCATTAAGTAGGCCCAGCATGGAGCCTACTGAAAATAAATAAATAAGTAAATAAATAAGGTTTTTTTAAAAATTTACATATATATTTTTTGTAAAATAACAGCAAAATGAAAATAATATGGTCAAATAACATATACTGTACAAAGATGGCAATGCTGCCAAACTTAATTGTGAGCTGGCAGGGAGTACCAGCATACAATAGCCTGAAATAATCTTATAGAAACCCAAATCTGGTATGTAAAAGGCAGTCTAGGGTGAAAATAAATGTGTTTCAAGATGTAATGTAAAAAGTATTAATAAGCTGCAATGAGAAATCTCCCCAAGTTAAAAAAAATTTAAAAAGCCATATCCAAATACAATATGTAAAGGAAAGGAATCTTCTTTCTCAGTTACCTCCGTACACTTTACAGTTTTCTCATCGGTTTCAAAATCTGCTTCCAGTCTTATTTTTTCACTTGGAAATCCTTGTAATGATATTCCATCCACTGAACTAATAACACTATAGGATAAAACATGTAGTATTAATACCAAATTGCTTTCTATGAAATATTAGATTTGAACAAATAAGGAGAAAATATATGAAAACTATATATTTATATATATTCATAACTAGGATAGCTCAATTACATACAAAATAATTAAAACTATAGTCCATCCATTTACCAAGACTTACTGATTGTGTAGCAATTTATATATACTCTTTCATATGCCCAATTCAGACCTGAGGTTTAAAATGCCTTAGTTTCCTAACAGAAAAGCGGTCTCATGAATTTTAAAAACTTTAGAATTTTAAAAACTTAGAATCCCTCAGCATTAGCCCTCTTTTTCCTTATTTGCTGTAGACCCTTTAACCAATCTCCAAAAAAAAAAAAAGAAAGAAAATAATAATTGAAAAGAAGGAGTGGCAGTAATATTCTATAAGGCCTCTAGTGTGTGTATTATTTAATTCAGTTGTATTTATAGTGAATCAATAAAAAACAGACTAAACACTCAAAGGGAATCCTTTACTTACTTCACAAAAATAGATACGAAACAACAGAAAAAGTACACTGGCATCGAGGTCACATTGCTGCACAATGCACATTTTATCACGGTCCCCTCCCAAACTGACCACCCTTTAAAAGTTTATAGCATTCTGGCCAAGAAAATACACCGAAGGCTGGTTAGGTACATGTCTGAAAAAACAGACTATATTCATTAGTGCATAAGCATTTAAATTAATGGCATAATTCTATATTTATTCATAAAATGTTTAATTTGTTAGGACATTTTTATCCTTCCCCCTCCACCAAATCAATTACATTTTAGTAACAGAAAATTCTTACCCTTTGTTTCCATTTTCTTCAGAATCTACCCAGCAGATATCCACATATTCTCTTAGGTCTACAGCATCAACTTTCCCACATGTAATTTTAAAGTCTTTTTGTTCTCGTAGAGCAAGCCGCAAGCCATCCATAGTCTCTGGTGTTATTTGTACCATCAAGCCATCTAATAATGAGGTATGTTTCACATCCCTTTTATTAAATACCAATTTATATGTCTAATCCATAAAATTTGCTATCAAAATATGTTCTGCATAAGATACAAGGTTTACATCATCTGTTAAATAATCTTAATGATTGTTTTCTACTAGGAAATATGAAAAATATTTCAAAGTTAAGGATTCTTTTTTTAAAAAACAGTTAAATAATGGTGAGATTTTTCATTACCAACTATAATGAGATTACTGATGCCCAACTCTCCTTTCATAACAACCAGCCATAAAACTAGACAAAATGTATGAGGCAGTTGTTTTCAGATACTGAACAAGAAGAAGTGCAATACTGTGACTCCTAGAGGAAAACTCAACAGGTAAGCCTACAACTGCCCAGGCTCCTTGTTTTAAGACAATTCTGCCTGGTGACCCATTCAACCTACAATGGCCACATTGGCCTGAGAAATCAGAGGTAAGTTTGGGGAAGTCTGGAATCTGGGGAAGCCTGGAATCTGGGGTCAAGACATTGAAGAGGAAGGCACCAGAAGACAGTGTGTAAGGGTCCCTTTGAGTCCTTGGACTAGAACTTGGGACACAACTGGGGACACATTAATAGGGTGAGACTAGATGACTCCTAAAAGAGAACAGCTATTAGGTTTGGGAACAGAAAAGAGATACTAGAAATCAAGCAATGCTGGGGGATATTGGCAGTATGGACCAACCACAATAGAGAGACCTTATGAGCACTTCATTAACTTACACTGTGGCAAAGCAAAATAAAGCCCTTACAAAATCTGTAGGCAAAATGGATTCAAAGAATGAGTCCTGCCAGACTGTAAACACCTTAGGAGTTCCACAGATCCATCTGTTAACAAAGTGAAAAATACAGACTACACAAGCTCAACATGATTTGCTATGAAAATGCCTGCTTAAACATAAATAAGACTTCTTCAGAGAAAGCTAACAATCTAAAGTCTTAAAACCTATTAACAATGACAAGTACATAATCGAAAATTACCAGAGAGAACTGTAAGAAAATGAGCCTCCATACAACTGTAACCAACCATGAGATAGCCAAGACAATGGATTAAATACACACATACTTCAAAACATCTATTCTAAAATATATTCAAAGAACTAAAGCAAAACAGTAAAAAAAAAAAAAAAAAAGGAAAGCAAATATGGGCTAAATGAATAAACAGGTTTACAAAATCTTAACAGAGAAATAGAAACTTAAAAAACCTAAAGGGACATTGTAGAACTGAAAAGTGTAACCTGAAATTGAAACCTCAATGGACAGGCTTAACAGTAGACTGAACGTGGCAAGAAAAAGACTCAGAGAACATGAAGAAAGATCAATAAAAATGTTTCAATCTAAGGAACCTAGAGGGGGATACCTGGGTGGCTCAGGTGGTTAAGCGTCTGCCTTCGGCTCAGGTCATGATCCCAGGCTCCTAGGATCAAATCCTGCATTGGACTCCTTGGTCAGTGGGAGCGGGCTCCTTGGTCAGTGGGAGCCAGCTTCTCCCTCTACCTTCCCCTCCCCCAGCTTATGCTCTCTCTCTCTCTGACAAATAAATAAATAAAATCTTAAAGAATAAAGAACCTAGAGAAAAATGATTAAAGAAAAATAAACAGCATCAAGGACCCAAGGTATGATATAAAAGAGGTATATCTATAAATATAGATACACACATGCATACATACATATATAAATATATAGATATCTCCTAGGAGAAAAAGATTGGGATTTTAAAAAATAAATAATGTAAGAAATTCCTCAAATTTGATGAAAAATATTGACACACATATCCAGAAGCTCCATAAATACCAAGCAGGAGAAATACAAAGAAAACCACACTAGGGTATATCATAGTAAACAGGTGAAAACCAAAGATAAAGAGGGTATCTTGAAAACAGACTGGAAAAAGGGCACTTTAAATACAGGGAAAGAAATATAAAAAATTATACTGACTTCATTAGCAACAAGGGAGGCCAAAAGACGAGATGACATCTTCAAGGAAAATGAAAACTTTCAGAGAATTCTGTAACTACCAAAAATATCCTTCAAAACTAAGAATGAAATAAGGACAGCTTCAGATAAACGAAAGCCAACCAACTTATATTACAAAAAATGCTACTGACTTCTTGTGTCTGCTCCAACATATAGAGAGCCTGGATGTTGTCCCTTCCATTCTCACAAGACAAATGCTGAACAAACTGAAAATGAACAACTCTTAGATAGAGAATTGAGGTCACAGGGCAAACTCTCTCTCCCCCCTAAATAAATAAATAAATAAAATCTTTTAAAAAAATCAACAAAAATATGTCAACACAATAACATATTTATTTTAAAAAAGATTTTATTTATTTTTATTTGAGACAGAGAACAAGCACACAAACAAGGGGGAGGGGCAGAAAGAGAAAGAGGGAAAAGCAGACTCCCCACTGACTAGGGAGCCTGATGAAGGGCTTGATCCCAAGACCCTGAGATCCTGACCTGAGCTGAAGGCAGACACTTAACTGACTGAGCCATCACCCAGGTGCCCTGGCTAATTATTTTAAATAAGAGTTCAGGAGTATAGCTGATTATAAAATAAAAATACAGAAATAAAAATGAATTTCTATATATCAAAAGAGAAAAAAATTTTAATTTAAGAAGATAAATTTACATCAGTAATAAAATCTATGTTACAGAAATAAATCAAAAGATATGTGGGGCTTGTGGGTAGCTCTTGGTTAAGCGACTGACTCTTGATTTCAGCTCAGGTCATGATCTCAGGGTTGTGGGACTGGCCCTAGAGTCAGGCTCCATGCTTGGGATTCTTCAGTCTCTCTCTCTCTCTCTCTCACTCTCCCCACCTTCCATGTCCCCTCACCCTGCCCCTCCCCCACCCCCTCAAATAAAAAAAAGATATGTAAGACCTATACAAAAACTGTAAATTTTTATTTTTAAAAATGTTTCATTTTTAAGTAATCTCTACACCCAGCATGGGGCTCAAACCCACAACCCTGATATCAAGAGTGGCATGCTCTACTGACTGAGTCAGCCAGGCAGCCCTATAAAATTTTATTGAAAGACACTGAATATTTTCTGAATTGAGGATAGCCTGTTTTTATGGATAGGAACACTGAGAATGGAAAATATACCAGTTTTTCTCAAAATTAATCTGGTGACTTAATGCAATTCCAATGGACCATTTAGAACCTGTAAGTTGATCCTAAAATTAATATGGAAAATCAAAAGGCTTAGAGGCACTACTGAAAAAAGGAAAAAAGCATGTGTGTGGCATCAGAGATGGAAGGGCTTCCCATAAAGCTATGTTTGAGATAGTATGGAGGATGACATTAGTGAAAAAGCAGACATAACGATCTCCAAAAATACTCTCCTCCTAAAGAACAATGAAACTAATAAAAAGTCAGAAGAAATTTTTTCAGAACCCTGGAAATTAAACAAAGGCTTGCAGCAATCTGGGGAGTATTTATTTAAGAAAAATGGCTGGATCTTCATAAGAACAGCAAGCTTTGTTCTTTTTGTCATTTTAACCTTCCTAGTCCCATTCACTCCTCTATAGCTCAGTGGAAGCCTCAGAAGCCAATAGCCTGGAATCATGGTGAAAACAGTCTGGTAGCCACTGGAGGCTGGTGCTCCTTCAAAGCCTCATTATCAGAGAATTTATATATATATATATATTTTTTTTTTTTTTCATGTTGAGTATTTTGCCCAGTGCAAAAAGTTTTTTCTAAGGGAGCATCTGTGAAAAACAATTAGAAGCCAATGATTAACATCTCAGCTACCTGTGGCAGCAGATAATAGCAGACGCAAACAGACCAACCAAAGACTTAAAAAAGGAAAAGCTGGTGAATGAGAGGTCCATAAGGGTTCTGAAAAGCTCTTCACATATTTCTGGGAATTTAGAAGGCCACACACATGTACAATACTGTATGCATACTCAAGATGTTCGCATGTAAAGAAATGCCTAGCTCTTACCTCAGGCTGACTTTTAGGCTTTGTACAGGCAGGAAGTACAGGTTATGGCAAAGTTGTTATGCTTAATGTAGACCCAAATATTGACCATGTTCTACTTCTTGAGCTGGGTAATGATTTCATGTTAAGTTTATGGTACTGTGTTTTATAACTGACATATGTTCTTTTTTTTCTTTTTTTTTTTTTTCAAATATTTTATTTGGCAGAGAGAGAGAGAGCACAAGTAGAGCAGCAGGCAGAGGGAGAGGAAAAAGCAGGCTCCCTGGGAGCCTGATGAGGGGCTTGATCCCAGTACCCTGGAATCATGACCTGCGCCGAAGGCAGACGCTTAACTGACTGACTGAGCCACCCAGGCACCCCCATATATTCTTTTATAAGTATCAAATTAATTTTAAAAGGAAATGGAAAATATCTTAACATTAAAACAATCCTAAAGATGAAACTCATACCTTCAACTATGCTGGACTTAGCAAGAAATCCTGAAGATGTTTTTAGAGCTCCATTGAATACCACAAAACTTGCACCTGTCACTGATAAGAAAAATACATTTATGTTTTAACTTGCCTTTTTTTAATGCTATGTTTGTTAACTGTATAATGTGGAGCATGGTACATTTAAGTACTTCATAAATGCCCATACCACTTATATTAGAAAGCTAATTAAAAAAAGCAAACTAAACCAAGTTAAGATAAAATATGGCATAAAGGTTATGGAATGTTTGTATATAATAACTGATAGCTACTGTACTACTTAAAATGTTTGTCTCTCTGTCAATGGAAATATGGGAAATCAAATACATACCATTGGTAAGAGCATAAATCAGAGGAATCTCTATGGAAGACAACTTAATAATTACCTATTAAAATGATAAATATATATATCCTTTGACACACCAATTCCACAACTAGGAATTGCACATATATACAAGGTTATTAATAGTGCATTTTTATAAATAACCAAGAATTGGTAACACCTATGTCCATTAATGAGACAATTATATGATGTACACAGATAAAGTGAAAAGTTATGGAAAATGCAGAAGTTCTTTTTATACTAAAAGAATCATCTCCAAGGTGTGTTAAAAGCAAGGTGCAGAATGGAACACATGTTATGACTTATTTTAAAAAAGTGGAAGAAATTTGCTAAAAATTATTTTTAAAGTAAGAATTAAAAAGTGGAAGAAAAGATGTGTGTGTGTTTGCTTAAATATACATGCAAGCAAAAATGTTTCTAAAAGGATATACAAAAAACTGATAACATTGGTTTGGTGCCTATGGGGAAGAGGAGAGGGTAAACTTGGGAGTCAAGGGAAGAAAGGAGATTTCACACTGTAGATACCTATACCTTTCAAATGTTGAAACACATATACCTATTCAACAAACAAATATTAAATAGTTGTTACATTTTAATTACAAAAGTATTAATGACATATTAAGTAAAAAAAAAAAGTGTGAATATCCAATATAAAACCATCAATTTAATAGATATATACTAATATAAGAAGGAAATATATTAAAATGTCCACAATGGCTGTATCTTGGCAGTTTTTTTTTTACTACTTTTTAAAACTTATTTCTCAAACTTACGAAGTTTACGAAGTAAGTATACATTACCTTTATAATCAGAGGCTGCTAATTTTACTAGCAGTCAGGATGTCAGACTGTGTTAAATATGTTATTTTAAAATGTATTAATTTTCTGAAATACTCACTTCTACTTAAATTTCAGTATGTTAGTCCCCCTACTGCAAGGATTTGACAATCACAGAAGTCACTGAGGCCATTCAGCCAGAACTGAGAGTAATGTCACTCACATATGCTACTCTACCATCTTTACCATTTCTATATCCCCAGCTACTTACAGTTTTATAAACCATTCTTCATCCTTATCCAGGCTTTACTCCCCTAAGAGGAGTTGGAGCAGAGAGCAAACAAAGGTAACACACACCCCATTCCAGAGAGAAATTAGTGAAAATAAGATTCACACCATATAGGATAAATTAGACCTGAAGGTATCAAAATAAATACAGTGTTCCAAGTCTTTAAAAAACCTAATGTAGCCCAAGAAGAAAACACAAACTAGAAGCAATTTTTATCTGTTTGTGTAGCTCAAATTTTAAATGGTATTGTATTATTACCAACAATCAGCAAAAAGTAAAATATATATATTGCCCCTTTAAAAAGGAATTCCATTTATTGAGGTAGTTTTATAGATCATACTAGAAACCAACACTTTCTTACCTTTTCTAGGATGGCCAGTGGCACTGTTGGCCTGTGTTTGATAAATGCCATCGTTTTGTATACAGACTAGGTGAGAATCTGCTTCAGTACTAAAACTAGCTCCAATGCTAATGACATGCTCATTGGAAGAATTTATAACCTTCATTACCTAGAGAAAAACAACACTCATTTAGAAACACTACTAACATGTTATGTCTTTATTAGTTATAGTCATTCAAAGGGCCACATTTCTGACCAGCTTCATAATTATCAAGCCTTGGTCTGGATAACTCCGAGAATGTGATGGAAACAAATGTTTTACGATAAAATTACCTTAATTAATAGATAAAACAGTAAAGAGAAAAGTTTTAAAGAACAGGATAAAACAAATCCCTTATTAGGAAATAAATCTAAAATTTCAAAAATAGTATTTTTTTGCCATTATGTATTAGACAGTCTGATTCAAAACAAATTAACACACTTTTAAAGAAATCTAATGTCCAATAATTATCTTCAAAATCTGTATGAAGAAATTAAACTTACATCATTGTATTTTTTCCGAGGTATTTTTATGCAGCTCTTCCCCATTTCCATATGAATCAATAGCTGATCTATATTATGCAAGGTATATTGGTAATTTCGAAGGTCCTACATATAAAATAATGACATTTCCATAAACCTTAAACTGTCCACGAACATTTTACCCATTCATTAAATCCTTTTATAAGATTGTCCATCATTTTAAGACTTCTGATACATAACTATCAAAATGCCATCTAGAAAGCACTGCCAACTGAAAAAAAACAACTAATCCTTCTAACTACTCCACAATAGTAATAAAGAATATCATTCTCAGGAAGAATTCTGTAGTATCTGGGGGTGAACTCACTTTCCAATTACAGATCTTCCAAACTAGGTCTTCAAAGTAAACATGTATAAGTCCACTAAAATACTTTTCTATGGTTATAGATAAAACAATTACAGAAAAAAGAGGTGGAAGGGAACCTGAGCTTATCTAATCCAATTCTTCTTATTACAAATGAGGAAATCTGGACCGCAATTTGCTCAAAATCCCCAAACTGATTGACTTAGTTAACACTTTTGCTAACACTTCAACAACTGTGTAGATCTCACATTACCTACAAGTGAAAGCACTGCAGCAGAATGAATCAAAAAACATTTACAGTCAGGTACACATTTATTAGGAGATGTGTTCCAAAAAGCAATTCATTAAAAACAGAGCCCATTTATGCTAAATAAATTAAGCTACATTATAAATGAACTTCCATTATCCCAAATATGCCAAATTAAAATCAGAAAATATAAATATGTTGAACATGCTAAACAAAATTTTAAAATAGTAATGTAAAAACACTTAATAGTTTGATTACTCACAACGAGTAAGTTCATAATAGTGTGTCCTATTTCTCCAAAAAGAGGTTTTCGGCCTCTAACACTTGTTAGAGGAGCAGGATATGCTATACACAAGAAAGGAAAACTAGTTACTGTCAAAAAAAAAAACCCCACAAAAAAACAAAAAAGTCTTGAATTTATTACTTTTACTTCTCATTTCTCAAACTTTATGGCTAAATACCAGCCAATCAGTTCTTTGGGGAAAGTGAGAGCTACATTAACTTCTAGTGTGCATCTACTGGATGCTACACTGAACTAGGAACTTTATATACAACATCTTATCTAAGCCCTAAAACAACTCAGTGAGGCAAATATGTTTACTCCTACTTTACTAATGGGAAAGTAGAGACATAAGAGATTAATAAACTTGCTTATGGTGACTAAGTTAATAACCAGTGAAAAAGATTTGAAATTTAGGCTTGCCTGATTCCAAAGCATTTCATCTTTTCATTATACATGTTGTCTCCACAAAAGGATGATGACAGGAAAATTATAGTAACTGGAGAGAACCCTACAAAGTTCTGATAATTTAAAGAGAAATATGAAGAACTCAAGATTTTTAAAGCATGTATAATTAATGTTAAATTGTGCAAATTTATAGCCAACGGTAAACTTTTACAGTTCCTGGGTCAGCCTGATAAAAGGGGCACAGAGAGTAAGAGAAGTCAGTGCAGAGAAATAGAAGGAACATGAAGTCTATCACCTAACTACTTTTCTCTTTCTTTAGGGCACTATAAGTGTTATTCACCAAAAAGGAAAAGCTATTTGGCTGGCAATGCAGCAGGGCTTCTGGAAGAAAAGGAAGGTAAGACAATTTCTATAATGATAAAAAGCAGAAACCTTTTTAACCTTCAGTTCTCAGCCTAGATCACTAAGCAAACAAACCTCTCTCATATCTTTTATATGAATATATATCCTTAAAATTCTAAGAAAACACAATACCTGACATCTATTTTAAAAATTTAATTCAGGGGGCACCTGGGTAGCTCAGTGGGTTTAGCCTCTGCCTTCGGCTCAGGTCTCAGGGTCATGGGATGGAGCCCCAAGTCAGGGTCTCTGCTCAGCAGGGAGCCTGCTCCCCCCTCCCATAGCCTGCTTCTCTGCCTACTTGTGATCTCGCTCTCTGTCCAAAAAAAAAAAAAAAAAGAAAGAAAGAAAAAGAAAAAAAAAATTAAGTCAGAGTGACTCACATCTTTGTTACTACCAACATATTTTTTTAAGGTGTTTTGTTTTTTGAAGATTATTTATTTATTTAAGAGAGAGCGAGAGAGAGCACAAGCAGTAGGGAGGAGCAGAGGGGACAGGCATACTCCCCGCTAAGCAATGAGCCTGACATGGGGCTCGATTCCAGTACCCTGAGATCATGACTGGAGCTGAAGTCAGACACTTAAATGACTGAGCCACCCAGGTGCCCCTATTTTTTATTTTTATTTAATTTATTTTTTAAAAGATTTTATTTATTTATTTGACAGACAGAGGTCACAAGTAGGCAGAGAGGCAGGCAGAGAGAGAGAGAGAGAGAGAGAGAGAAGCAGGCTTCCTGCTGACCAGAGAGCCCAATGAGGGGCTCCATCCCAGGACCCTGGGATCAGACCTGAGCCGAAGGCAGAGGCTTTAACCCACTGAGCCACCCAGGCACCCCTATTTTTTAATTTTTAAAAGGACAACTATGTTATTTAGAGGACAGAGGCTGCAGACTGGAAAAAAAACATAGGGCATTAGTGGTAAAAGACATTAAAATAAGATATGATTAAGATAAATGATGCCTTCTTACTCCATCTTTTATGAATAAGGGAACATCCTTTACAACTTGACTGAGGTAATTTTATTTGGAACAGTATTTTCAAAAGGTTATGACTTAGATATTCTGTCAGAGTTATAAAGGACCTCATAAATCATTTAAATCAACAGTGAATGGTATTCCAAACTTAAGTGTAGATAATCCCCATTTGAAAATTACTAATTTCAGACCACTATTTTCAGTCTCTAATCTTGGGACTCTAATTTTTGCCATTAAATCTTCCATACATCCATTATCTCTAACAAACACATATACATACATACATCACATTTGCAAGTTCATATCTAGAGGCATGGGCACCAGTAACATCAAAATGTCAGTATATCTAAAATCCAGCAGTACACAATGAACTCAAAAAATAGTGAAGACTAATTAATTTCTATGTACAAGCTTCCTCCCATCCAAAAGTTTGCTTTATACCACTTGCTTTTACAAAAGACCCATGTTAGAACCTGTTTTCACTAACTGAAAGAAATATTAAATAGGTTTTTGTGTTTATGAAATGGTACTGGCTGGGGTGCCTGGGTGACACTGTTGGTTGAGCTTTCGGCTCTTGGTTTCAGCTCAGGTCATGATTTCATGGGTCGTGGGATGGAGTCCTGCATCTGACTCCATGCTTAGTGCAGAATCAGCTTGTGCTCCTCTCTCCCTCTGCCCCTTGCCTCCTCAAATAAATAAATAAATAAATAAATAAATAAATCTTTAAACAACAACAACAAAGAAATGGTAATGGTTTCTTTGCTTTATGCCATTTTGGCTTACAAAAGGTTTCACAGGAACGTTCTACTTTCGGACAGTGGGAAAAACCTGTATAACGGGAGGTTTTTATCTTCATCATCACTAAACAGCATCATAGCTTTGCAGCTCCAACCCCTGTGATCCTCTGAGAAATCCCACAAGTTGCTCCATGGTTTTCCTTCTTTGTGTGTGAGAAAAACACATTTAGTATCTAAAACTGATACTGACTAAAATACGGAGCAAACTTATAAATTATATGTCGATATAATATGTGATGACTTAAGATTATATATTGACTTAACTTTCCATAAAAATAGCATTCAAGTATTTATAGCAGAGACAAAATATCAGGCTACAGAGACAAAATATCAGGCTGAATGGATGAAACACTTGATGCAAAATAAACTTTCATAAGCTCTATAGTTTACACAGTAAAAAACCTGCGATGACATTTCCATTTTGATACTTTTTACACAACAGCATCACATATTTACAACCTAAATGGTGGGCTGCCTGGGTGGCTTAGTTGGTTAAGCATCCAACTCTTGGTTTCAGCTCAGGTCATGATGTCAGGGTTGTGAAATCAAGATTAGAGCTGGACTCCATGCTCAGTGGGGAGTCAAACATGCTTAAGATTCTGTCTCTCACTTTGTCCCTCCCCTGGCTCCCATGCACTCCCCTCTCCTCTCTAAAATAAACAAACAAATCTTTTTTTAAAAAGTCCTAAATGGTAAAGACTTCCCTCACAAAATCAAAGAGTTTACTAAATTTGCCAAAGAGATTTAGATCTCTTTCACTGAATTTGTCCATTTTGAAATATTTATAAATTTTATAAATCCCCTCCATTTAATTTTCCTCCAAGGAAATACCTATTTAATTAGAATCAAATGCCTAAAACTTCATTTGATATACTTTATATGCAATAAATAATTTCTTGAAAAAAGTCAAGGATAAAAGGTGGGAATTCAAAAATTTTAACACGAAAAATGATTTCGACTTAGAAATAAACATATACATAAACTGGAACCATTATTTCACAATCCTTCATGTTTGGCTTTATGATGTATACAAATTCAGAGGGAAAATAATTTAGGAAATATAGGAAACATAACAAATATAGAAAACATAACAAATATATAACAAAATGAGCTCCCTATAGTACATGCTTTTAAGAAAGCCTTTCAATGTTTTCTGTATTTTGTTATGAGATTAAAAAAAAATTTTTTTTAAGGTAAGTTAATATAATTATGAACATCTAGAAACTTCATGACATACCAAGGTTGTCTAGATGACTCATTTGGAAGTAGAAGAGGGTTGTCTTGGAATTTTAAAAGTTTATCAAAACAAAGGTAGTCCCCTTAAATTCATTAAAATCTTATTTTAATGATATCCCTGAAATTCTTATTTTACATTTATTACATTTGAACCTATGTGATTTATTATTCTAAAACTTACCTTTATATTCGGCACCCAGTCTTAACATTAAGCGCATAGGAAACACCTTTGCCCAGGGAATCTCTAGCTTCTGAATAAGAATTCCACAAAGAAAAGGATTACTTGGTAAAAGGAGATCATCAAGTTTCTGAAAAGTAGGTGTAATAAACAGAAATCCTCCATGATCCTTACTACTGAGAAAACTCTCAGTAAAAGTAATATTGTCCAAGTTTTCTATGTACTTTCCTGGAAATAAAACCATTAATAAAAAGACTTTAAGTTATTTTAAAGGCATTCTGAGTTTGAATGTTGCAGTATAAACTTTCTTAAATAACAGCAATGTGGGATTTTTTTCTTATTTCCATACTTGAAGAAACATCTATTGAATAACTTGTTTGCACAAAGTTCAGTTATTCCTGGAGGTTGGGAATTGTGAACAAAAATATGAAAATATTTTTAACCATAGGGGGTTTTAAATTTTTCTCTTTACTGCATGTGTGAAAATTCATCATCTCCCCCAATCTTAGACAGATAAGTATACAAAACGTATTAAAAAAATCAAGAAGGCAAATATATTTCCATCTTTAACATAAAAAAATTTAAAAAAAAATTTTAAACTTTCCATTTCTAAAATTAAAAAAATTAGTATAAAGACACTAATCACATAAAATGCTAGATTTAAGGAGACTGAAAATGATAACTAAGATCTTTTAAGAAATCAGTCTTTTCACAAAATAAATCTTTAGTACAGTTAGCCTAGCCCAAAACATAAATGCCTGTAATTAATCCATCCTCCCATTCTGAACAGTTCAAAATAAAACGCTATACCTTTTAGAGCATCCTTATAGATGGTGATAAATAGTTTGAAGATGTCCTTTGGAATAGTATCTTCATTTGGCAAACATAATAAAAGAATCATAATTTCTGCCTGTCCCAAGCCATGCAGTCCATTGGTCGAAAAGTACCAATATTTGTCTGAGGAATCTTAAGCAATAAAAGCATACAACTATAAATATCAACTTCTATTAGCTGAAGAAACAATACAGTTGTCTTTTGCATGAAGCACGACTTTTCAAATTCCTTATTTTCCCAAAGTTCTCCTCACAAAAAAAAACCTTTACAACTGAATTGTTTTAAGATGAATGTAAAAAAGAGAAGGGATCTTTGGAGTCAATTCATAAATAACACTAAAATAAAAATAAAAGATGTACTAATAGGCTGAAATGTAGTGTGGATAAGAATCAAGTTTGTTTCAGACAATGAAAAGCTGAGAGATTCATTGCTGAGTACTGAGGATTATTTACTTCCTTATTTTTAATAAAAAAAATGCTTTCTTTAAAACTGTCTTTATTGTTACTAAATCAAGATTCTTGCTTAATTTTCAGTTTATCAAAAAGCTATATGAAATATAGTCAGTTGTATTGTGAGCACCAGGTACAGCTAGGAGCCCATATCCTTAACCTAGGACTGAATGAAGTACACTAGTAAAAATCTTTAAGTTGGTTTCAAGTCCCACTGAATATAAATTTGCAAAATTTATATTCATAGGTGGCTGACAAACCAATATTCAAAGCTGATTACTTTTCATGGTTGCCAGTCAAAATTTAATTAATTTCAGAAATCCCACATACCAATTAGGCAAAGAAAGATCAATCATTACTTACAAAATACTAACTTGACATTCACCAGTAGATTAGCATTTAGGACAAATGTAACAGGATGAAAACTTTTGCCCTCAAGAAGCAAAATGATCCGCTCATGAGATGGGTGTTCCTCTACTACAGGCACTAAATCATGAAAGTAACATATTAGTTAGAATATGACTTCCTGTTAAATATGCTTGCAATAAAAAAAATTATAAATCCACCAATGGCTTGATCAAACTTAGTAACAAAAGCAAATCCATTTCATAAAAATCAGTTAATACCCTAGACAATTATTATATACTCATTTTTA